TGGAGCTCACTTGGTAGCCCAGGCTGGCCTCGAACTCACAGAGATCCGCCTGCCTCTGCCTCCCGAGTGCTGGGATTAAAGGCGTGCGCCACCAATGCCCGGCATGATGATGCATACTTTTAATCCAGTACTCAGGAAACAGATGCAGGTGGACCTCTGAGTTCAAAGTCAGCTTGGTCAATGAGCCTGTTATAGAACAAATGAAGAACCACCACCCTCCCCAAAGGGAAGAAAATCTAAAAAATGTGACCAGACATGGCTTAACAATTGTGGTGGTGTAAGAATGGCCCTCACAGGCTCATATATTTGAATACTCAGTCCCAGATGATGGAACCGTGTGGGAAGGGTTAGGGGTGGCCTTGTCCGGGGACATGTGAAACTGGGAGCAGGCTATGAGATTTCAAAAGTCCAAGCCATTCCCAGTGTATCTTGTGCTTGTGGATCAAGATGTGAGCTCCCAGTTACTGCTCCAGCACCATGTCTACCTGCCTGACGCCATGCTCCCATCATGATGACTACGGACTCACCCTCTGAAACTGTGAGCCTCCAATAAACTCTTCCCTAAGTTGCCTTGGTCTCAGTGTCATAGCACAGCAATAGAAAAGTAACTAAGACAACAACCCCATGACACAACAGCAGAATCTATGTCCCAGTCTTATTTTTCTCTGTACTGACAACCTGTCTTTAATAAAAATTTTACTGCAGAGAATTCAATGCTCCAAAAGGCATTTCCTATCAAGTTTATTCATCAATTAGTTGATTACTTTTGAATGTGGTAATGGGAGGACTCAGCATAGTGTCTGATGCATAGTAAATGCTGGCCAAATTTAATAAAATTACCTTTCATTTTACCCTTTGTATGGAGGAAGATTGATTTTCTGCTTTGACTAAATCTGAATTTGCAAATCTCAAGTTGAGCTTTCGAGAATGATGCCAATGTGTAGACTGAATAATGATGTAAATGACAGAGACAGCATTGGCCACAATTCATCCTGAGCTGTTTACAGAAACTACACAAGCTGTACATCCAAGGAAAAAAATGCAAATGACAAGGATTATATAAACCAGGCAGTGGTGGCTCATGTCTCTAATTCCAGCACTCGGGAAGGTCTCTGTGAGTTCCAGGCCAGCCTGATCTACAGAGTGAGATCCAGGAAAGGCACCAAAACTACAGAGAAACCCTGTCTTGAAAAACCAAAACCAAAACCAAAACAAAAGGACTGTATAAATGTCACCAAAAGCCTATTTGGCAAAAGGAGGCTGAAGACACACACGGCTTTTCCACCATTCGGGAGACCACGTCAAGTTCAAGTAAAGCTGTGGCTCTTCCCTCCCTTTTACTGGAAACGGCGTGACCTATGTGGTTGGCCTTTTCTCCTTCCTCATAAGGGAAAAGTGGAGACAATTGGACTTCTCTCAAGATCAACTCAAAAGCATCTGATATGACCTTACACTAGAATGTGGCTTCAACTTAACCTGCCATTTTCCATTACACTAGCAAAGTGAGGCTCAGTGGGACCTGGTACAGACATTCTCATTGGTTTAGCTCTACAAATCTCTCACAACATCATCGCACTGGGCTCCACAAAAGGAAAAGCGACACTGCTTTAGCGCTAATTTAGGAGAGGGGGAGGCATTGCTCACAGTCATCAACGAGAACAAGGCAGTGCTGAAGCTCCTGTACTTCTCAATGTTTCTAGGCACAGGCGCTTCAGCCCTGAACTAGTCAAGAGTCCTCCTCAGGTCTTCAAACAAACTGCATCAAAGCTGCATTTGCTTTTATCTGAAATACAGCAGTGTTAATCACACAAAGCACAACCATTTTCATTATTTCTTGGTGTAAAGAAATGACAATTTCATTTTTTCACTGATTTTTCCATGGTTTTATTATAAAAATCAACATTTCATTTGTTACAATTCAGCTTATTGTAATAATCAAAAGGGGGGTTTATACAAGGTACCTTTATACAATTTATAATTAAAGCACTTATTTTACAAAAAGGGGAAGTGAATAAGTGGACAAGGGCTGACCAAATGTTGGCCATTATAATATAAATACATCCTTGCAAAGCACCATCATACCAAAGTCGATGTACAAGAAAACACCAGCTGACTTTAAGACAATGACAAAGATTAAAGCTTAAGAAAAAGTTTAGACTCATAAAGGACAAACATCCGAAAGCAGCACCAGATCCTTCACTTGCAACAAGGCCAGTCCAGTTCAGTCTCTTGTATCCTCTCTCTGCAGTCTCCCATCACCAGACTCCGATGGAATCATTCTCCTCCATTTCCTTTCCTCTTAATATTCATATTTAGGCTCGGATATAGATACTTATCCACATGGATATATAGCTATACCACCCCCTCAGCCTTCCTACATTTCATGGATAAACAAAGCCCAAATGGACAGTTAAGCAAAAGCATGCTGTCTATGACTCTTTGGTGTTGACTTTGGGCAAACGCTAAGTGATGATGGAAATCCAATGATTAGTATATGTTGGGCTCATACTCTGCTTCTGAGTACAATAACTCAGTCTGTAATTCTAAAAATTCCCTAGGAATAAAATTAAGAATGGTTTATAAATGCCTGTGAAAATTATAAAACAAAAATTTGATAAAGCTCCTTTTCATTGAAGAAAGGTGGGGACAGAGTTGGTAATTTGATTCTAAGTCACTAAAATAAACCTGAGCATCCACCTCCCCTCTCTGCTCAGGTGTAAGCTGAATTCAGTGAGCTGCACAGTCAGAGAAAGATACTGAGAATACAGAGCCACAGTGCATGTCACTTAAGTCACAAATGTGCAATTTCACATTTGAGGCCCCAAGTCCTCGACTTTAAAACCTGAGGATTTGACACAATTACAAAGCAATGCCATCCCAGATGCCCTAAAATCACACCTCTTCTCATGGCCTGTTTTAGGCCTGGGATAAGGAAACCCCAGGAAATTCAAAGGGATTTTGATATTTTAACTAATGTTTGATGATAAACTTGCTTAGGACTCAGTCCACACCCATACTTATGCATGGCTCTCATTTGTGAATCTTTAAACACTGTCAGCCAACTGATATCCATACTCCTGTCTACAGTCTAATTCTGAGTGAGAAGTCAGTGTGTACTTCTCTCTATAAAGTCATGCGGGCTACATTAGCACTGCACTAAAAGCAGGTTTCTTAGGGGTGAACAAAACAAGACTTTTGTTTCTGAAGCTTGCAGAAAGCCATCCTGGTCACTAAACACATTTCATTAACTTGTGAGGTAAGCGCAGCTATGAACTCAAAACAATGTTCACTGATGGGCCAGTACAGTGAGACAAAAATTGCTTTCCCCAGACTAACTGGTACCTAAGATAGATGACTATTTTTACAACTTAGTGTGCATTGCCAAAAGCATTGTAAAATTTAAAAAAAAGAAGGAAAAATACTAGAAATATTCTACCCACAAACTCTACACCTTTTTCTGTGACTGTGCCATTTGCCTGACCTAAACAAGAACTCTCAAGTCAGAAGACTAGGGCTCCAAAGGAGTCAAGTTTGAGTCCTAGTTATAAAAGATTGCAATGCAGAAAAGCTTGCTGTAGTGTATAAAAGCAAGCTACACCAAAGCTCACCTCATGCACTCTCCTATCAGTGAATAGGCATTCTTTAAGATTCAAGTTCAAAATAACTATGGAACCTAATCAAATTTTAGTCATGTCTCCTCTTAAATAATTAGGCACATACTAATTTAAAACTTTCCCCTTTTCCCAATTGGTGTTTTCATAAGTTTATTTTTCCTTTGTTTTTCTTATGTTCAATAATTATGACATGGTTTACTTAAACTTAACTGTCCATGTAACTTGAGTATCATTATCTCTTTCCCAAGTTTGACAAGCATCTCACTAAAAAGTACTCTCAGAAATACTCACAACAACTCAGCTGCCCCAGAAAGAGGATACTGAGATTAACCTGAACTGCCTTCAAATCATTTCAACAAATTGGCACACAACTTAGTATTTTGCAAGAAGAGGCCATTGCCATCTCAGTACAATACCTGGACTGAGATGAAACAAGGCAGCATCCTTCTTAGCTCACTATAGTGCAAGTCTCTACATGGGAAGCCCACCAGATGAAGATGCACATTAAAAATGTAAACATAGAGAATCCTCAAATTCTAACTGATACCCAGTTATTGCTAACCTTTCCATCTGCACTTAGCATCAAGTGCCCCTGCTCATCACAGAAGGCAAGTTCAATGTTCATCCTTTAGACTCCGAGCACTTTGTTTCAGTAACAGGAAGAGTTAATGATTATCTGACTGAAATGCAAGACATGATAGATTGCCATTTACTTATATGCATGATAAGTGCCCCTGATTCTGACTGAGCTGTCCCCAACAACATAAGCATTATCTTGAAAGGTTTATTTTTCTCTTTAAAAATGTACTTACAGCCGGGCGGTGGTGGCGCACGCCTTTAATCCCAGCACTCGGGAGGCAGAGCCAGGCGGATCTCTGTGAGTTTGAGGCCAGCCTGGGCTACCAAGTGAGCTCCAGGAAAGGCGCAAAGCTACGCAGAGAAACCCTGTCTCGAAAAACCAAAAAAAAAAAAAAATGTACTTACATGTTTGTTTTTTTTTAAGTTACTTAAACTGGGCCAAAATTCTGGAATCATTTCTATCATTGTTTTTGCTTAGGCTCTAGAATCCAGACGCCTCACATTAATATATAATTTTAAAATATATTCAATAGGTAATCAACACCTGCTAAGTTCAAAGCACACTAGCTTAAAAACAGTTCAACTTTAGCAGAGGAGTGCTAGACACATGTAAAAAGCAGGAGACTAATGACTGCTACAGCGGCAGAGCAACGTTAGCTAAGGTCATCCCACAGGTCAGCCCTGACAGCGACAGAGGTAGCAGCTCAAGACCCTAACAGGACGGCAGGTCAGGCATGTTACAGGAGAGACTCCCATCAGTCTCCACCACTCAAGCTCCTGCGGTTGAGAAGTTCACAGTGAGTCTTCTCATTCAACTCCGCTGCTATATTTGTGAAATTATCTTAATCCGTAATGGGATAATAGAGAACACACATACAAGCACAGGTGACTGGAAGAACAGACTGCGGACTGTGTGAAAACAAACACATTCACAGTGCCTAACAAGGAGGTACCTCACACCACACTAACAGAGGTATGCGTGTAGATGTCACTCTGAGAAAAGCTGGTCCACAGAAAGTGAAATTGTCACCAACAGTTAATACAGGGGAAACCTAACAACAAAAACACCCTTCTTTTTAAATAGACTGTTTCTAACCAGAGCACATTTAAATGTTTTACTCAAAAAATATACATAAAATGATTTCACACTGTGATATTGTATGCTGCAAGGATACAAAACTAATTTACAAGAATATAACGGATTTGTGATTTTGTTAAGCATTGTCTATATGTGTTGTGAAAAGACACTTTAATGAACATTAAAACAATCATGGAAGACCAAGAATATGGCTAACTTTTGATTATGCAAAAACAGCCTCAACTTAAAAGCTCAGCCAAATGGTGGTGAACAAACATAGTAGATGTACTGAAATCAATCCCTCGTTGAGTGAGTTCCAGGTAGTCAGTTCCTCAGGTTAAAAAGCTTGACTGAACCATGGCTCTTGGCAGAACGGCCTACTGCTGCTGGGCGGGCAGCAAGGTGAAAGCGGCCAGTGTTACCAGGCCCTGGGACAGAGGCGTGGGCTCTTACAGCTCCACAGCGTCCTGCAATAAACACTCATCCCCTACAGCAGCCGCACTCCAAATGGATTGTACAACTATCTACTTTCCTTAAGAAAACTGTTAGATTCCTAGAGAAAACAAAGCCCTTTGTCCAAAGTTAGTACTGTAATTTTTTTTTTCTTTTATGGTTTCTTAACTTGTTGGCCCTCAAATGTTAGTTAATCTGAAGGCGATTTGGCTACTTCCAAGTTTGCCACTCTGAGATGGTATTATGTTCTTCTTTTTCTTTAGTTTTTGGTATCAGTAAAACCCAGACACTCCCGGTCAGTGATGCCTCTGTAATCCCTGCTTCCTTTGTGCTCAGTCACTTCACTGGGTTTAAGGCATGCTTTGTGTATTTAGTTTGCAAAAATAAAACTTTTAGTACAAATTTATATTTTATACAAACTTCTATGGCACAAGCAGCAAACCTGCTCTTTTAAGAAAATATATAAATATCCTTTTCTTCTGTACAAATATCTCCAGTACCCCACCCACTTTATAATGTTAACTGTACAGGGTCTGCCTCACTCTTCTTTATAGCTCCCTCCCCCCCTCCAGATCTCAACCAGATGTGTATTTACATTTCCCGGTGGAGGCAGTCAGAGGAGGAGGGCCCCTCCTCAGGAGGAGTCCGTGCAGGGGGAGGGGGGTGGTGGGTAGAGGTGGTGGGAGTAACTCCTCTCAGTATATGGAGAAGGGGGGCAGCTTTCATAGTTCTCCTCTGCTGACAAGTACTGGCTTCGGGGTGTGGGTGGTGGGGGCACAGGTTCTGAGTCATAGTTCAAGTCACTGGTGTAGCCCTTGGCTGTCGCCACTGAGGTCATTCTCCGGCTGGGGGCATAGTCACTGTCACAGACGTCAGTGCTGCAGGGCGTAGTGGGCGGTGCAAAGTGCCGGTAGCTGTAAGGCCTGTAGCTGGTCCAAGGAAAAATAAAGAGAAGTGCAGTTAGCTTTATGGAAGAATAGTCTGTATCAGGAATCAGAAACAGAATAAATTTAGTCTGACAGCTATGAGCTACTGCAGTTCAGATTTGTATGGATGGGTAGCCCTTGCCTGGCATGTGCAGTAAGGCCATGGGTTTAATCCCCATGCCACCTCCACAACCAAAAAGCCACTGCCTTTAACTGGCATAGATGAAGAGGCAACAGTACACTAACAAAGGAAGACCTTTGCAAGTAAATTGCATGGAGTGAAAATGGATGGTGTTGGAGAGCAGAGAGGACCTCGATCAAGCCCCAAATGCGCTCTTCTACCCTGAGGTAAATTTAAGTGTATGTGCTGTACACAAGGCCCTGGGTTTGACCCCCCAAAACCGTATTAAAAAAAATAAAAGAATAAAAACAAACCAACTCAAGAGTTTTATTATTGACGTGCTTTGGAAAACTTCTATTTTTCCTCCAGTGCTGGGGACTGAACCCAGGGCCTTGCCCACACAGAGCAAGCGGTCTACTGCTCAATTCCAGCCTTGGCCCGCCTGTTACACACCTCACACTCAGATCTCAGCAGTTTGTTTCCACAGCTTTACAGTGTGTGGAAATGGGTCTTCACACAGTCTGCTCTTGCTCAACAGGCTTTTGTCATTTCATAATTTTCCTGATAGGTAAGTTCATGATGTCTGAAGACTTCATTTCTTTTAAAAGTAAAATATTACACAATCCAGGCTGAACTTCCAGCCAGATCAAAGGGAAACTATTCTACTTGCAAGTAGGAGTTTTGATTTCTGTGTGGTCAGGAATCGTGTCCTAAGTGCAGTTTCAACTGAATATCAAAACGATCAATTTTAAATGCCCAGAGGGTCAGTGAACTTCCTAACACAGTGTAAGAGTTTAATACATGTCTACACTTGTTTATTTATCTTTACAAATAATCTATAATTATAACATGGCTATCTAAGAAAAGCGATCTGAAGAGGAACACACTCATGAAGATAAGAGCTGACCTCAAACACTGGCTTGTCCGTGTATGTTCCCCACAACTTTGATTCTACGTATTGCCAAGCTTATCTTATTTCATACTTATCCTAAAGATCCATGCATAAACTGTCCTAAAAAACAGTGACTGTAAGACAAGGGGCAGAGTAACCGACGAGGCTCCGTCAACATCCCAGTGACACAGAGCCCACGCCTCCTGCGGGCACTCGGCCTGGCCCCAGCAGCAGCTTCCCGGGACTTCTACCCCAGTGCTCACAGGACATTATCGTAGCACTTTTGCCTTTTCGTTCCACCTTTCTGTCCAAACAGGTGCCAGAGTCTAGGGAGATTTTCTGAATTAAAATGTAAAAGGCTGAAAACATCTAGTCTCATAATGAAGAAGAAGAAACAGGAAGTTGTTTGACAAAATTCTGTTAAATCTCAGCTTAGGCAAAATCACGGCAACTGACAGTTCGACAGAGATTTGGAGTCTATTTAAACGTGGGAAACGATTTAAAGCAGTTGTGTACTTTGCCTAATGTTTTATTCAAGCTGAATTAAGTAAGTTTTTTAAAATGAATTTCTACGTTCTGGTCTTGTTTTTAAGTTTTCAGGCCTCTGCTTTGTTTTGGCATTTTAGAACAAAACTATGGCATGAAAAGAAATCCTACAATAATTCATGGAAATGGTCGTGTTGGAGCCAACCCTCTCTCAGTCCTAACTGATTTGGGTAGGCGGTTCCCATTTTATTTCCATCACTGCAAAGTCAGACCAGGTCAAGCTGACTGAAAGGAAACATCATCCAAATGCTAACAGGCACTGAGGACCACAGGCACAGCACGCAGGCTTCTGCCGGCCTTTGAACAGGATGGAAGAGTGAGGTACACACGACAGTAACAGACATACTCAACACACTCACAACTGGCACAGAGGCATCATTTCCTGTTGTGACTTACAAATATGCTTCATTCCCTTTAGTGAGACTTGTTTATTCCATGCAACTAACTACATAGCAAATCTTTCTTTCCAGGTCACAGTGACCCTTGTAAACGCGGGCCAACCTCCTCCTGATTTCTTTCGTGTCTGTGCTCCACATTCCCGCTGCCTGCCAGCTCTCACGAATCTGACCTGTCTTGCCCAGTCCTCAACTGCAGCACTCTAGGAACCAGCTGTGTGACTCTCTTAAACCCTGTCTCAAAAAACCAAAAACATAAAATGAAAAAAGAAAGGATTCGGGGGTGGGGGGAGGGGGGGTGGACAACGTCAAGTCTTGTTGAGACAAGAATCCTGGTCTGTCTTGGTGATTATGGTCTGTTCATTTGAGGCTTAGTGTGTTCACGAACGGAACAGGGAAAGGTGTCTTACCTGTAGGACCTGTGTGTGGAAGGACTGTTGGAAGAATAACCAAATTCCATGGTATAATGAGATCGCTCTGTGGCAGGCGATGGTGGTGGGTTCAAAATCTGAGAGGAAAGCAATGAAAATATTTAACTAACAATAACTTTCCATAGATATTATATAAAGAACACCTTTATCTTTGTGTCTGTGCTTTTCCATTACACTATTAGCATATTCTTTTCAAAACAGCCACCTCAACAGCACTTCATGACTGTGGCTCCCACTTCCTAGGCCACAAGTTCTTTATCCCCAACAAGTGGTGACAAAAACCTGTCGCCTAGGACACTGGCTTGCTTGGCACCACCAGGCTCTAATTTTTGAAGTGCAATTTTTCTATGTTTGTAGGAAAATTATTAATTTAAGAGGAATTCTAATGTGTTTCCTCTTTATATATGTAGGTACAAGAGCATGTGTGCATGCATGCAACCGCAGGCCAAAGGAAACCATAAATGTCATCCTCAGGACACTGCGCATCTCCTTTAAGGCAGGCTCTCATTAGCCTGGAGTTCGATAACTAGTCTAGACTGGCTGGCCAGTGCGCTCCAGGGATCCTCCTGTCTGTACTCTGCAGTTTCAAGATTATAAGCCAGGTCCAGCTTTTGATCTTGGTGCTGGGGATGGAACTCAGGTCCTCTTACCTGCGAGACAAGTATTTTACAACTGAACTATCTCCCCAGCTACATGGTTCTTCTCTTAGCAGGTTATGAAATAAAGGTCCTAAGTCTGTTTCGTACCTTAGTAGTTTAAATGATGAAATTATTACAATGCTTTCAACTATGTTTATTATTACACAGCAAACTTCAAAGATTTACAAGCACGGGGCAGTGGTGGTCAATTCTCCATTGACTCCTATGTACTTAAATCCTACATTAACAACTATTCTTACATTACCATTACTGAGTGTTCACATTTAAATGACTTAATCTGACATGCTATGTATTTTAACAGTGAAAGAAAAACAAAGCAAAAGCAGACTGCTTACTGCAGGGAAGTAAGTGCCTTTGGTGCTTGAAGAACTGCTTGATGATGCTCCTGTGACGTGTGCTCGATCGTAGGGAGGCCCACTACTTCCCCCCATAATACTGAGGGAACTAATCATTGATTTACCTCGAGACATTCCTAAAGGAGATAAAAATGAAAGATTAGTAACATCTATAAAAATATATGAAATAACTAATCAACACTGAAGTCACAAGCAGCCCAACTAAAACATCTTTTGTCCTTTTCTTCTAATAATAGCCGTAAAGAGTTCATGAAAAAGGAACCAAATGTTGAAATGAATGGTTCCATTGAGAACTGGCTTTGAGTAAGACCAAGCCACTCCCACCTGGTCCAGTCCGAGGAAACAGGGCCCTTCGGAGTACGAGGTTTTCATGGAAGACTTGAGGATTAAGACTGTGAACCAGGGCAGATTAAGCCAACAGATGAGCTCCAAAGAAAGCAAAGCCTTTTAAAGACATGAGCCAATGCACAGAAGGCTCTCGGATACCTCTGGACTCAAAACTGCTAATGCTAAAGAAAACCTTCTATTTGTTCCAAGTAGGTTTCCATTTCTACTTACTGGAAATAGGGATGGCAACAAGGAAGCATCATTTACCAGCTTAAATATTACGGCTGTTTACTTGAGAGTCACACCATACTGATTCCTATTTTCAGAGCTCAGGCATCTCCTCCATATTCATTAAAAGGCAACATTCTTCTCACCAAAGGTACCACAAAACACTGGAAAAAGCTTGACTGCCCAGGAACAATATGGCCTCCCAGTGGTAGAACTCTAGCATTTGGCCACACCTTAACCCAGCCTGCACCACTGTCACCAGGTCAGATCAGGAGAAGGCAGAGGGAAGAATGTGCCTTCCCTGTCAACCAGCTATTTCCAAATCCTTGTCTGCGGAAAGTAACCGATCCTTTATTGCTAGACTCAATCGCCTCAGGGTCCCTGAGTGGTGACATTAAATTGTAGGTGTTCACCAAAGCACTTGGTGACCTGCTTTTAATATAGTGCAGCCCTACAAGCACTCAGAGGCCTGAAGCTGCAGACCTAACTGAGTCTTTCTGCACAGAGAGACAGTGTATAAACGTTAAAACAACAACAGAAAAACCCATCACTCTCACAAGTTCTTAAACCCAAAGTAATCTAGTTTGTAATCCTAGGAATGTCCTTTTTCCACAATGGAAATTCAGTAATTTTTTTAGAACTTAAAATTGGACAAAACCAGATTTTCACAAACCAGTCTTTACTTACCTGGAAGAGATCCCGACAGAGAGCCTGGGTGAGGAACATAACCGAGGGGCACAGAAGCTGGGCCATGAACCACATAGTCATTGGTCATAGTCTCCCCATCTCCCTTCATACGAGGACACAGCATCCTTTGGCAGATAAAGTATATGGTTCCAGACACAAATATGGTGACAATTACTCCAATAACTGAACCAACTGTGTTGGTGGCCTGTGGTGCTGGCTCTTCAGTTGGATCTAAAATGGAAAATACTATAGTTATCCAATGGAAAAACAACTGTACATTCAAAATAGCAACAAAAGAATACAAAAGTAAAAACTATATGTTGATGAATCAAACATTTATTTATAGTTTATATAAATAAATATATAATAATTATATATCATGCCACATAAAAATATGAATTAAATGGCATCATTTAATTTAAATAAATTTAAAGAAGCTGCTTAAATGAAGACAACAGACCAGGAAGCATCACAGTAAATTTCAGGCCAGAAGGGACAGACCTAGAGAAGTCATCAAATGTTCTCTGTGGAACAGTGAAGAAGCCAAAAGCAGCCTGGAACTAGTGCCACTTAGGTCCAGTGAAGGACGTCTGTAAACTGCAGATGAGTCAAGGCACTTAGATCCAACCTCTCCTGTCCTCAGGCCCCCTGGCTACCTGAGAGCAAGGATACATGCAGGTCTCTAATTCGATGACTAGAGGACTCCCAGAGGAAGGCCAGAGTGCTGGAGAAGGATCCTGCCCAGGACACCCACCTTCTGGATTCCTGGCTACTTGAGCCTTTAAGAAGCAGAAGGCATGAATGGAAAGAACAAGAAATGGGCTATCAAATTTAGTGCCCGTCTATTATTCAGAAGGAAAATTCTTCCATTCTGACTAGTTAACCCATGCATAATCTCATAATGAAGACTTCTTAAAACACTTTCTGCTTCTTGCTACTCAAATCTCCCATCCATGTAGCTAAACTCATCTCTACTAGGAAAATAAATGAGTGACAATGGCAGCACTAAGTTGCCTTGTGCCATCAGGTCCTAGTTCAGTCTGTGGAATCCGAAGCATATGCTCTCTTTAGTCTTTGCTAGCTACCATCACCTCTGTATTCTCTTCTAGTACCTTGGTATTCCTTTCCAATGCCAACATTCAAGAAAGAATAATTCTTTCTTGACATTCCTGCTCCACACTGCTGGTCTCTGGGTCACACTGCTGATGTCAGGCTTCCTCCCTCAGCACTGCAGGGAAATTCAAGAGACTCTTCATCTCACACTTTCTACAAGGGCAACAGAGTGGGCTCCTGTTTTCTTTTAAACAGTTTCTGCTCACTATGGAAGACACCACTCTCCTAGTTTTACTATTTGTTTGTTTATTTTATTTATTTATGTTTGTTTGTTTGTTTTTGAACAGTGTATCACTTAGTCCAGCCTGGCTTCAATCCTGCTATGTAGCTGAAGTTGAATGGGGTCCTGAGTGTGCATGACCATGCCCCCACCCTATTTACTAGCTCTGATTATCCTTGCTGTCAATTAATTGTGCATGCTTCCCTGAGTTATTACTATCTACTTGCTTCCTCCTCTACTCTGGAGATTTCACCCACTGCCATAGCTTTAATTACCATCGATAATCTAAAGAGTGCCAAAAATTTCCTGAGCCATAGTCAATCAACTTCCCAACAACATTAATGGGATAGTCCATAATCACCTTTAATGTAACATATCCCAAACTGAACTCACCATTATCACCACCTCTCCCAGATCCAGAGGTAACACAGATAATAAACAGGGTAGACCAATTAAGAACAATAAATACTGGCATGGCCGTGGCAAGCTGAAAAGTGCATGCCTGTGAAAGCCATTTAAATTTAAAACAAAGACAGCAAATAGCACTGCATTAACCAAGCATTACAGCTCACACCAGGACATGTTATGGTACTTCAGTGTTTAGTTCCTGCTGCATATCCTGGTTAATGACTCCAGTCATGCTGTGAGGTACCTGTGGGTCAACTGAAAATTGCCAACTGTATCTAAGTGGCTACCAACCCTTGTCTTTGTAATAACTGAAAGCCAGCCTTGCTTTCCCAGCCGTACTGCACCTCTTGATCTAGATCATCTTCAGTCAGAGCCACAAAAGCCTCCTGAGCATTTCAATCACAGACTGCAAATCATTAGTAGATGGGGAAAACAATTGAGTGGGTTGCAACCAGCATTTAAAAATGAAGGAAACAAAAATCAGACATCGTCTACTTCATGTGCATAAAAGCTTATTGCATGACACCTGCTTCTCTACAATATGCTTCTCATCTTTATACTTCTCTTGATGTGGTCCAAAGAAATATGAAAACAAACAGCCTATTAGATGGCCCTACCTATAATCATATCACCTCCAACACATTTTATAGCTCTTGCTTTCATATTCCCACCCTAGCCTTTTCTTAGACATGTCAGTGATTCTGAACCGTGAGTGGAGCATCACCTCCATGATACTACTATTCTCTCTTGGTGACACACTGAAGACACAGCTAATGCAGCAATCCCATTTACATACAGCAGTTCCAGAAAGATGACTGGTTTCACACCTGCCTGACTCTAAACATAATGCAGCATCTCTACTTATCTGTAGAATCAACACTTTCATTCATAAACATCTGATCTCAAGCATCATTTGTCTAGGAAGCTTCCTAGATCTTCATTCCTAAAAAGTTGGTTGCCTCCTCCTTTATGCTACCACTTATGTGGCTCTGTTGTAACTCTGCACTAGTGAGTTCAAGATGAGCCTGGGGAGGGAGGCGGGCTAGCTCAGAGGGAAACAAGGAAGAAGAGAGGCAGACAAGCAGTCATGGAGGCAATGAGGGAGAGAGGGTGGCAAGAAAGGAGGGAAAAGAAAGCATTTTAACTCTAGACCCCGAGAAACTGGTAGAAACACTTCAAGAAAACAGTTAAACAGTAATGTTCAGAATGAAGTTCAGATCAGCAATTAATTTCCATGCATCTAAATTACCTGAGAATTTTGTGACTTGAGTTGTGGCAGGGCAATGTTTATTTGGTGTTTTACTATCTCTGTGCACAAAGAAACTACTGACCTTAAACAATTACTAAACGGAAAACGGAAAATACCTCTGGTGCAAATAATAACTAGTATATGTGTTCTACCTGGAAATCTGGATTGTAAGTAAACTACAGAAAGAAAAGGAAAAGGTATTTTTCAAACTCCCTTGAGAACCACTGACAAGGCTCCCTTCCTACTTACAACAGTCCAGCTCGTCAGACTTGTCACTGCAGTCCACACTGTGGTCGCACTTCTTGTGTTTTCCGACGCACTGTCCGTTGGCACAGCGGAACTGATCAATTAAACAAAGCACTAGAAAAAATACACAGTTTTATTTTTATCACAGTGTGAAGACAAATTCTATTAAGAGTCAAATGCTTTCTAAGTACAATCTAAAAACAAATCAGGCGTAGACACAAAGCAAGTTCCATTCTCTAAGGATTCTGGTTGGTAGAAAGAAATTTCATGCTTTTTTCTTAAATTTTTATTTTACTTAATTTTTGGTGCCATTTCTCAATCATCAGAGCTCACTGGTGTGGTTTTTGTGGTCTGAGTACGTTTGCTCCCCCAAAGGTTCGTATGTTGGAGGCCTGGTTCTTAGGGTAGAAGGCCACAATGGAGGTAGAGGGAACCTAGTGGGAGGTAACTGGACCTCTTTTTCAGAATGTGTGAGGGAGCTCTCCATGTACCCTGGGTCAGTTCTTGAGAAAAACTGTTGCTATAAAAGAGCAAGCCTGGGACTGGAGAGATGACTCAATGGTTAAGAGCACTGGCAGCTCTTCCAGAGGACCCGAGTTCACTTCTCAGCACCCACATAGAGGCTCACAATAACTAATTCCAAGGGATCTGACACCCTCTTCTGGCCCTCCTCAGGGCACGCAGGCATTCATGCAGGCATAACACCCACATTTTTAAAAGAACAAGAAGCCTGACACCACCTCCTCTCACCCTGGCTTCCTACTGAGATGCGCCCATAATCTCCCAAGTGCTGCCGTCTGCCCTGAGGTTGTCACAGAGACCAACGAAAGCCACCGCACCCTTGGAGCAGACAGATTTCTAAGACTGCCAGCTAACAAATCATGACAGAGACTCATCAATTACGAATGTTCAGCCTTAGTTTAGGCTTGTTTCTGGCTAGCTTTTTTAACTTAAATTAACCTGTTTCTCTTCATCTACGTTTTGCCTCGGGGCTGTTTACCTTTCTTTCATTCTGTATGTCCTACTCCGGGTCTGGCTAACTGGCTGGTCCCAAGCATCTCCCTTTCTTTCTGCCTCATTCTCTCCCCAGTCCACTCTTCCTGAGCCTAGATTCCTCCTCCTACTTATTCTCTCTGCCCAACAGCCCCACCTATCCCTTTACTGCCTAGCTATTGGCTGTTCAGTTTTTTATTAGACCAATCAGGTGCAAAAAAGCAACACATCTTTACATCATTAAACAAATACAGCAGAAACAAATATAACACACCTTTACATACTTAAGGTAAATTTCTGCAACATAAACAAATGTAACACAACTTTATATAAAGTAAATTTCTGCAACATAAACAAATGTAACACAACTTTATATAAAGTAAATTTCTGCAACATAAACAAACGTAATACAACTTTACATAGTAAAATAATATTCCACAACATGCCCTTGACATTGCAAAACTGTCATCTAAATAAACCTCTTTTCTTTATAAAAATGCCCACTGTGGTGGTTTGAATGAGTAATACCCCATCACAGGCTCACATATTTAAATGCTTGGTCCTCAGTGGGCAGAGCTGTTTTGGTACATCACTGGGGATGGGCTTCCTGAGTTTAGAGTCTCACCCACTTCCAGTTCACCCCCTCTGCTTGGTATCCTAAGGTAGAAGATGTGATCTTCCAGCTTCCCTGCCTTCACAGACTCTCCCTCTGGAAACTTTAAGCCAAAATAAACTGTTTATTCTTTAAGACACCCCTGGTCATGATGTTTTTAATCATAGCCAAAAGGTAAAAAAGACATTCACCACCAGGACATTTCAATAAAGTAGCAAAATTAGCACATTAATTTGCAGAGACATTACACATATGAAATGGTTCAAATAATTAGCAACATGTATAATGTTCATGCCATAAATATAAAACCCAAATCTATTAAGGGGAAAAAAACCCCACTGAATTTCAAATAACTTGATGCAAAGACACTCTAAACCAACACTGAGGACTTCCTGATACCTTCACAGTTCTTCTCATCAGATTTATCCTGGCAGTTTGCATCACCATTGCATCGAAGGACGCCATCAATACACTGCCCACTGGCACACTGGAACTGAGACTCTGAGCACACGGGACAGTTGAGTTCGTCACTGTGGTCTTCACATTCAGTAAAACCATCACAGCGCCAAGCCACAGGGATACAGTCAATGTCCCCAGTGAAACAAGTGAACTGCTGAGGAGAACACGTTGGAGGTTCTTCAAATGAACAAGGGAGGAAGGACAGAAAGAACAGTGGTCACACAGAAGCACGAACACTTATAGCCAAGTGGAGCTCATTAAAAAAAACACACACATCTTACAATAAAAAGGATTTCTAACCTACTTCATCTAATCAGTCGTTCAGATACAGCAACCTATAAAAACACTGACATTTTCTCATAATTAAAGTTTGAATAGCACTAAAATATCTGCAACTCACTCTGATCTCACACCACACAAGAATAATCATTATGACTACCAACTTCCAAATATTTTAAAGTTAGCCTAGAATGAACACTTTTTTCTAGCTCCGAGGTTCTCAAAAGCCTGTTTACCACCCCCTGAAGATCCCTATTACTTCTTTTTTCTGGGTTCAATGAGTGAATGTCAGAACACCATCCAAGAATGGAGTCCTGTGAGGAGAATTCTGAGTGCTTGTGAGAAAACTCCAAGAAAACAAGACAACAGTCTTGTAACTTCAGTTTCTTCAAAAATATGAAATTGTTCCTGAATGTGTTTTTGTGCCCCTTCGGGTATAACAGACAAGAGTTGGTTTACTTCAGATTATTCATTACAACTGGCTATTGTTATTCGTTTAGATGCCTCTCCGGAAAAACATGTTTCTGCCATGTACAGCTTGCTCACACACATCGCTTGCCCGCCATGAGTGGCCTTGTCCTCGTGACTGTACACTTTATTTAGGTAACCCTCAGATTATGAATTGTCTTGATGCTCTGAATCAAGTTGGCTATTGCACGAGACTTTAGTCCACCTCGTCTATCAGCTCCATCCTCCCAGGTCCCCCTGCCAGTCAGAGCAGTAAGCAGGTGAGGGCTGTTGATAATCATTCTGAAGTGGTGTTTGCAATTTTCACATCTGCACGGATACTACAGAAGAAAGAACTGTAGGTAAAGCTACAGGGACTTAGTACACTCAAGGCAGTTGTACCACAGTAGTAGTCCCTATATGCCACACAAAACCACAGCTTTAATGAACAAAAAACGCCAGTTTCTCTTAGAAATACTTATGGTGGAAGCTGGTCTTGAGAGCACATGCCTGTGATTTCCTGTACCCTTTGGAGGTACAGGAAAGGCAATCAGGAGTTAAAGGTCATCCTTGGCCACACAGTGAGTTTGAGAACAGCCTAGACTACATAAGATACTGTCTTTTAAGAAAAAAAAAAATATTCATGATAAGAAAAATGTTCTTAAAAAAAAAATCAAGTCTTGAGTTTATTATTGTTTGAAAGGTTGAGGTATACATTAATTTTACACTGCACATCTAACCAGAATAGGGTTTTTTTTTTTTTGGTTTTTCGAGACAGGGTTTCTCTGTGTAGCTTTGCGCCTTTCCTGGATCTCGCTCTGTAGACCAGGCTGGCCTCAAACTCACCGAGATCCGCCTGCCTCTTGCCTCCCAAGTGCTGGGATTAAAGAAGTGCACCACCACCTCCCAGCTTAACCAGGATAGTTTTTAACAGGCAAGCATCTGTTCACATTTTAAACATAAATCAAAGTGGAATATTGTTTTTATCTGAAAGAATGACCTACAAGGAAATTGTACTTACACTCAGGTATTTGGCAGGAATTAAAACAAAAAAACTGAACGAGCCTATTACTTAACAAATAAAAAAAATAAATAAATAAGCCAAACAAAAACAATGGCTGGTTTTGTAGCTGATCATAAAACTGGAACTTGGGATCAGAGACTCAAGTTCTGGAAAATCTGAATGTACTCAACACTGAACACCTACAGTTTAGCAACACGCACAGATTCTTCTCGTGAGGTGATGTTAATAAATTAATAAATGTAAGCTTTGATACTGCATAATGAAATAGGTCAAAATCTGAAGATCTAAGTTTTTTTTTTTTTCTCTTTTTTTTTTTTT